GACGAGGAAACAATGTTCGTGAAGCAGTCTCATGAAAAAGATCTCCCTCAGTGAAGGATTGCGCGATCGAAGCGGGAACGCTCGCTCGTTCAGTATCCGGCGACATAACAGCAAAGTTGAAAGAGATGCCTTCGAGTGGCTCTTGCATAACTTACAAATTCTTAAATAGCCTACTAGCCCCTTAGGGATTCACGCCTAAAATACTTCTACAGTTAACACGAACCATACATAGTGAACATACTCCAGTGTAATTAGCGAAACGTTACAAAATATATAAGCTTGCCCCGTCAACAAGAAAAGCAAGCAAGCTGATTTTCACTTGGGGCGAACGGCTATAATAAGATTAACACTATCTAAAATTATTTACGATATTATATATTACCAATTACTAGCACTAACTCTAAGACAATAATTACTTAAACTAATTTCTGATGCTAATGCGGCTGAGATATTAAAAAGTGTTCGCATTAATGTGGCAACGGTTTTTGAGTTACAGGGTGAAGCGAAAAGCGACTTAGAGTTTGCTCCACTATAACAAACTCTTTTCTTTAGAAATTCAGATTTGGGTTGCGGCAACTGCAGCGAAGTAAAGGAACCCCTGAGATTATAATGCGTAGTATTTTTCTTGCTAGAGAAGAAATCTCCACGATAACTAGGAACCAAACGATTGAGAACTTTATACAAAAGACTTACCGTAGATTTATTTCCACTTTTTCATGCTGGCATCCCTTGAATACCCATGGCCAGACCACTTGAACCTGATACGCCGGTAATGCCACCGAAGGGCACCAAAAAGGTGAGATTGGGTAATTTACCGTGACCTCATTTGTTCAAGTGACTATTCAGTGGCGGATATGATCCAGACCTTGAGCTAAGCGGGGGGCCGGTTTTGTTCTGCTTCTCTTCCTTCTGTGACTTTTCCTTATTTTTATCCAATATAACGGGGCTCCTCCCCTAGATCAGTCACTGCTATTACCCTAATTCGGTCAAGTGATTGTCCCCGGGGAAAAACAATATTTCTGCTGGAATTGACGGATGCTTAACTCATGGATTTTGGTCTCACTAGGGGTGTTCAGGACGAAACGCCACCATTTTCAGCCGTCAAGGAATCTCTTGGGCTTGCAGGAGTTTCATGACAACGCTTTTAGGTGATCCATTTACAGCGAAATGTCGACGAGCATCCCCGACCTTTACACTTGAGAGTTCTCCCCGTAAGCCAATAGTGGAAATAAAACTTTGCGACGGTTAGACTAACTATAGTCCGACAACTAGTTATATTTTTATTTCAGGATAAATTCCAAATTCTTTTGTAACGTATTAGTATCCCGGTAGAAGATGGTGGGACTGGCCACATAGGGCTGCGGGACAGACATGCAATTTACATTAGCAGTGATTACTGCTGCAACATCATGCTTCTTAGCTGTTCCAAACTTGGTCTGTAGTTTTATTTGTTTTATTTAGTACAGTAGGTATGATCATTCTCAGCACAAGTCTTTGCACACTGGCAGCTGGCCTTTATTTACATTTACCTTTGATTACGTCACTTTTTATTTCGCTCAAGTGTTATATACTGGCCCTGAAAGAAGTCCATAAATCCAGAGTTGGTCATATATATTTTGATACATCAGAAAAGAATTGACCTTGACTTTCAACACGAGGCCAGCTCTATCCTATGATTTTAAATTAATCATCTGAAACACTTATCTTTCGCTAATAAGCAGAAAGCAAAACAAAATGGCTGTAATTTATCCTGTCAGTTAAAATCCAATTTCTATTCAATCATTTCCCTCACAAATATATTCCTCAACGTTTCATACCATCTGTGACTAATCTTTATTCAAAAGTGGGTTTACCCCTATTTTCTTAAAAATCAAAAATTCAGGACACCAATGTACTGATCACCAGTTTACCTGTGCAATAGATTTTATCAGATATGACAGTTAAAGTAAAATTTAAGTAAAATATGTTCACCGCACATCTACTGATCTGTTTTCTGTTGCCACCTAATGTTATATAAAGAAGGTTTGTGGTGATTTTTATATAGACCTCGCAGTTCTACAAGTCTGAAGTTAGTTAATATATTTTTAAGCAATAAACGAAACGAAGTAAAAACACAGCCATATTGTACAAACGTTCTCCTGATTATAACCTCTCAATTTACAAAACTATTTTAAGGAACTCCTAACTCTTAGGCCAAGTTCAGACGCTGTACTTCACATGAGCTGAATCGAATGCAAATGAGAAAAATCCTTTGTTCTCCCTCATTAGCATTCGATTCGGCTCATGTGAAGTACGGCGTCTGAACTTGGCCTTATAAATTTTTCTTTTCTTTGCACAGTAAAAACAGAAAATGCTTATCTCACATAGTACATTCTAGTTTGCAAAAACAATTGCAGATGGAAACTTTTAATACTCATTCTGGTCCATTCTCCTAACTCCTCTGTACATGCAGCTTTTAATTGTTTGCAGACAGGTGAACAATATTGCTGATTTGGCACAAGTTCCATGAAACACCAAAGCAAACACCCAAAATTGTTATAGTAAATAATATCTGTTTTCCTTACTTTTTCATGATCTGCAACAAGAGCAAACGCTTCAAGATCCACACTATAAGATGTATCGGTATCAAGATTTTTCCAGTTAATTTCATGTTGATTATAAATCAATAGGAAAAAAAAAAATGAGGATCCATAATCATGGTATAAACCAAGAAAGTGAGGTTGACAGGATATCTTTTGCAATATCATTATCTCTTCCTCTGGAGAAAGAAACACATTTAAGGTCGTGTTCACGATCAGGCCTCTCTGTAAAAGAAGGCACACAGAACTTAACAATCACAGAATGCACACTATGTGAGAACTGAATTAAATTACCATGCAAATGTCCCTTGAGACTACTGGGTGTGGTAAAGAACTTACAGTAAACAACTAACCACGCTGGTTGTTATATCCTGTATCTTTGAAAAGAAAGCTAATCTTTGAAAATTCACACTTTGACATCTACCCTGACTAGGTAAGACTAATCATATTTAGCTACTTAAAGTGTGCATCACCTAGAATTCTTTGTCGTAACATTTTTGGTTTAAACTGAACACTTTAATTTAAGTGTTATTATAACTAAAAATAAGTGTTCAAAGAACACTAACTTCAGTCAAAGGTGACTCAGTGGCTATGTCTTTCTTCTGTTCATCTAGTCATTTGTTCTCACTTGGAAGAAGTCTGGACAAAAAGTTGACAGGAAGTGGGAAAATGATAGTGGAATTCTTCTCAGCAGAGATGGTTGTCAGGGTCTGAAGGTATCGCAGCTGGAGAGCAGAAGGAGACTCAGAAATGATCTCAGCAGCTTCCTTCAGTGCACGAGAGGCATTCATCTCACCCTCAGCAGCAATGACCTAAAATGACAGTAAAGTTTTGACATTGAGCTGAAATTCAGCTGAAGATAAAAATTAAATACTATGTTTTTAATGAGAGGATTGTTTACCAACCACTCAACAACACTGTAGAGAAAAACCTATTAGTTATACCTTAGCACGAGCTTCACGAGAGGCTTCAGCTTCAGCTGCCATGGCTCTCTGGAGCTGTTGAGGAAGACGCACATCCTTCCTGTACATATCAAGCAAACAATGCACAATTGAAAAAATAGAAAATCCTGGGAATTGGAAACAGAAACTTGCAGTAATTCGCCTGTGACCAGGACAGGACCAGCCAAGACACTTTGCGTAACAACTTGACTGGAAATAGTAAAACAAGCTGGTGCACAAGCTTGTTTTAGGTAAACCAAATTAATGACAAAATAATGTCAGTAGAACCTAAAAATGAAACATGATGTACATACACTTCGACACGCTCCACTTTGACACCCCAGGGATCAGTGGCCTCATCCAGAGAGGTCTGTTTGAAATTGAACACAAATAAAGTATGTTAGGCCTTTCTACCAATACCAAAGAATACTATCACTCAAAGATGAAATACATGTAATGTATTGTTCTTTTAACTAATTAAATAGCAGTAGTATTTACCTGCATAGTATCACTGATGCTTTCTCTTTCACCCAAGATCTCACTCAAGTTCTTGGTTCCCAGCACATTTCGCAATGTGGTCTGGGCCAGCAGACGTGTGGAACGATTGGCATTCTCTACATTAGTGATTGACATAGTGGCATTGTATATTCTGAAATACACCACAGCATCTACTGCAACTGTCACGCTGTCCTTTGTCAACACCTGAGAAAAATTAGGTACCAGGCTCTTACTCACTTATTTCACTCTCCAGTTCGGGTCACATGTAAGTGACTGCCAAAAGGTTGGAAAGCTATAACACTATTTGGTAGCCACTCAGCTGTGTTCTATTGGAAATCTGTGAATCTGAGTGGTTCTCTTGTTATGTTCTATTTGTGATAGACAACGATGGCACACACACTGCTCTTGAAACTGAACATTATTCTTAATTTGGGGCTTAAAAACAAACAAAAATAATTGTAAGGTTTGCTCTGTAGTCCTTTAAAGTGTTGACCAAAACAGTACGTAGAGTACTCTTCTTTGTTTTCTATGAGTGATAGTCAACTTTGGTTCACCTTGTTGACTATTACTACAAAGAAAACTTGAGCTCATAGTCTAATTTATCAGGCCTATCATTTAATTTCCTCTCTAAATTTGAGAAGAAGAAGAAAGATCAACTGCAGTTTTCATTTGTATTTAACTTTCCTAATTACAACTTGGGATTACATAAACTACCAAGTATACTCCCTTTGGTATATGCAGCTTTTGCTTGTATCTCATGTGGTCAAATAATGGCGGACCTTCAGTTTTCTCTTATTAAAACAATTTAGTTTAATAGTTTTACTTTTGTTTCATAGTAGGTTAAATGCAACATGCCAATCTGTAATCTCTCCAGTAGTCATAGTCAGGGCTGTAGCTAGTAACAGGCAAACTGAGGCACTTGCCTCAGTCATTTTTTTCTGTTTGTTTATAGTCATCATTAACATCTTACATGTAAATACATACAATGGGCGATAAACGTGTTGAGACACTTGGCAGTAAAATTCAATTTTCGAGCATCTTGGAAACATTTCCCCCCTTCCCCCTCCGAACAATGTTGATTTTTCTATTTCTTAGACTACACAACCACAGTGCCAACACAACATTGAATTGGGGGGCTGGAGATATCAGAGAATTAACACTAGATGTAAATAAAATAGAGTAAGTGCTTAAATCTCAAAAAGCGTCATTTTCTAAGTGTCTCAACTACTTTTGTCGCCCACTGTACGAGGAGAATTTAACCATGGACATTGCCTTAGTCATAATATTTTCACGACCATTGCCTCGGTCATTATTTTGTCCTGAATCTTTTTCTGGCTATACATAACAAGCTTGTAAATTGTACCTCTTGTGGTGGTACATCAAATGATACCACTCTCAAATCTACTTTCTGATAGGAGTCAATACAGGGCAAAATGAAAAACATCCCTAAAGAAAAACAACACTTGAAGTTAGCCATTTTTAATTGGTTATCAAATATAAATTAAATCAGAATGTACTACAGTGGAACCTGTATATAACGGCCACCATCGGGAGTTGAGGAACTGACAGCTTAATACAGATGGCTGCTTAATACAGGATCACTAAAAATACTCACTCAGACTGGTCTAATGTCAATTTAAATGGCGTATCATACAAAAACACTTTATGCAAGTTAACAATAGGACAATCAATACTTTTTCAGGGGATCAGTACTTTAAACAAGGTTCAGTGCCAAAATATGTAACATTACGTAAAAGTACTGTGCAATAAATTGTTCTCTACTCCCCCACCGTATACAGTACTATATTTCTATGACTTTCAGTTCACAACAAAATATCTCATTCCATCATTTCATAGTTGTTATGTTCAATTTCATAGTTGCTACGTTCAGGGTAGCCGCTTAACACAGGTAAAAAAATAACAAAAACAAGCAAACATAGGACTGCTACAGGGTGGTCACGGCCACTTAATAGAGCTGGCTTCTAATACAGCATTTGTATGAGCAAAAAATCGGGACTTTAAAAACTGGCCGTGTAATAGAAGGTGGCCACTTAATACAGGACCGTTATATACAGGTTCGACTGTGTGTAGATTTTTGTTCTAAAAACAAACTATAAGCCTTATCAAACGTTGATAGATAGAGCAATCTTTACCATAAGGTGCCGAAGACGTACACATTCAAGGTTCATCAAGTGCTGTAAAGGTCACAAAATGATCTATCTGTTGCTTGTGGGGACATATACTCTTAAACAAAAAGCGGCAAGGCCCATTTTACCATTAGAAGAACTTCTTTTCCAACATCAAGGAAGTGGATTTCTTGAAAGGGCTTTTTGAGAAAAAATAATTTAAGGTTGGGACACATGTAAACCAGGTGACAAGTCGCTGTGACATGATGCTGAACTAAAAAAGTGCTTGCATAGGGAAAAAAAAGACCAGACCAGATGCTGTTAGTTACATCTGGTAGAATCATTGCATGCTATTTCTTATACACCTAGAATTACAGTCTGTAAAATTTTCTTCTACAAATTTCTAACAAAATAGGGATAACTTGAGAGTAGATAATCAGGTTGATTGTATTTAGCACCATGCTGATATTTTACCTGGTCCTTTTGCTCCCCCAGGTAACAACCGGCCAAGACGGAAGATCACTGCTCTCTCATACTCCTGAACAATCTGTTATTTTTTAAAATCACATTTAGAGGAAACAATCTAAGGTACAGCACTTCCACGCCAAATAAAGTATGAACTGCTAAGATATTTATACCTACTCCTGGTTTTATATCCCTGCCAGGCCATAAAAAATAATAAAAAGTAAATATATTTATAAAACTCCTAAAATTTATTCGTAAATAAGAAAAATCTATTCTCTAGAGACACTTATTTATAAATTATTCGAATTTGTACAATTTTATCTAATGAATGATGTGAACTGCAGAAATGCAAATGGAATGAAGATGTGACCATTGCAGTAGTAATCACAATTGTTTTATTTTTTAGTGATTGCATATAACTCCCCCCCCCCCCTTCCGCCTAAAAAAATTCAGGGCTTCAACATAGCATACACCCATAGCCTCTACGTTAGCATAGCACAAAGGTAATGCGTCTGAATCCTGTTAAAGTCCCAAAATCTATTTTAGGGCTTAATATACAATTGCATTTAAAATTACAAATATCATTTCACATGTTTTGCACAACCTTTCCTTACCTTTATGCAGAAACACAGAGATAAAGGCAGTGTACAGAGAAAAACCAAAAATGAGAAAAATGTCAGCACATAGTCACACACACCACGGCTCTCAAAGGTACCAGCTGTCAAAAAAAAAAAAAAATACTTACAGTAAGCAACTGCAAATTGCTACAAGGCTAAACTAAATCTATTTTCAGGGCTAGTGTTTTAATAATTATTTACTAATCTTTCCTGTCTACATAAACTTTTCCTGTTTCTAATTAACTACAGTTGTACATCAGAAAAGGTTACCATTGCATGGTCAGACATGTATAATAAATTACAAGTCATGCAAGCAAGTATTACCATTCTCATCACTCCCTCCACCTGAAACAGACAACACATAATGATGTCAAACAGTGTCCCCAAATCCTATTTGCTTGCCCACTGAATGTTCCTGGGGAGGGGGGTTACTCCCTCATATGGGCTATGTGAGTATGTGTGGCCCCAAAGGGTATGGTTTTTCAGCCATTTTGGTCATAAATAGGGTATCGATTTTAGCTGATTTTGGCCATTTTGGTCATAAATAGGGTATGGATTTTGCACTCTAGCCTAGATATGGGTATGTTTTTAACAAGAAGCCACTTTTTCATCATTATTGAAAAGAAAATTAAAAAAAGACCTTTACAAATTATGTTTACGGTAATTTAACATTGGTCTGAACTAGGGAACTAATTATAACGTAGGTCTGAAAAAGGAATTTGATTTAAGGGTCAGGTCATAAATAGGGTTTCCAATTTTTGGTCAGGTCATAAATAGGCTAGGGAATATCGCAAATTTTGGTCATAAATAGGGTAAGGGTTTTGGGAAGCAGGCCACACACCCCCACTCAATTTTTCTGGGAGTAACCCCCCCGGGCGAATGTTTCACTTCCATGCAAATGCAAATTCAAAAGTTTCAGAACCATCATTGTGCAACCGTGGCTGGGCAATAATTATATTGGCAGTGAGAGATTTATAAACAATTATTGGATGAGGTTTTTGTGATATCCAGAATAATCAAGGTCGAGGTAGGGGTTATCAACCGAAGCCGAAGGCTGAGGCTGAAAACCCTTACCGAGACCTTGATTATTCTGGATATCACAAAAACCGAATCTAATGATTGTTTTATTATACAGCGAATGCTTCTTCACTGACGGCAAGCAACACAAAGCACGCAAACTTGACATGATTACCCGTGACCTTGAATGCCCTTGATATGTGATTATTATATAATCTGCAGAAATGATGTCACAGACGCTGATTTCGAAAATTCACTGTACATTTTCGGCCAATCAGAAAAGAGATAGTGAGTTCAATGTATAATAATAGTATTAATCAAAACTATAACAAAATTCTCGAATGTGATTGGCTATCAGCAGCCTAATTTGAGCATTAATTGAACAGTATATACGTGTCATGCTTGTAATTGGACAGTACACGTCATTTTGCGTGCACTGTTACGGTGCACTTTGTTGAGTAAACTGCTGTGTTTTTCAGCATTTATAACGACGTTTAATCGTTCAGCGCTCAATCGATGGTTTGTTCGTTTCTCGAATTTTGTCATAGTTTTGATTAATTGGTAACAGGACATCGTGTTGTCCAATTTAGTCTGTAATCATACTCGTGATTAACAAATCAGGCTCTCGCTTCGCGGTCGTCCAAGTTTGTTCATCACTTGTATGATTACAGACCGAATTGGACTCCACTCAGTCCTATTACCATTATTAATCACTCATTGCTGGTGAAAACACATCTGCATCCTGGCTAACTTTACTTGTGCTGCACTGATGCAAGAAGGTGGTTAATAGATTTCATTTTTAAATGCTTTCTTAACACCTGCCATAGTAGTTTACATAATTTTTTTGGGCCACTGGTGGCCACTTTTCATAAGGCATAACCCCATTCCAAGATTTTCCTTGCGATCTGTAATTGTATTATTATAAAACCAAGCAGAAGTCTTTCATCATTCACTTTATTTGTTACTATCTTCAGACACCACATTGCCATCAGTACGCGACTTAAAGGACTAAATTAAAATTAATTCCTTCGGCGACTAAGAAATAAGCTAATATTCGCAGAAAAACAGAGAGTTTAAAGATTTCGACCGACTTACCTAAACACTGAAGCGAAAAAATGTCGAATGAATGTTACGGCTTGTCGAAAACCTTAAAGCATTAAGAGCTGTACCTAGCTAATAATGTACTTAAGCAATACACAATTATTATTTGCATTTGAACACCCACAGTTACATCTTTATAAAAATTACGATGTCTCCAAGGTTTCCACCGAATCACTTTTTTTTGACAATAGCGTTCATAAACAATTCAAAAGGGTGAGAAGCGTGAATGCGCAAGGAGGCTAAAAAGAAAATAAATAAATCATATGCGCCATGCAACTTCCGACGATTTCATGTAATTTACATACAGCATTCAAAACAGAAAAATATGTCGCGAAAAAATGTTAAATTTGTGTGCTTTTTAGCATTTTATTTGTTCGAACCTTAACATGAAAAAAATATTGAACGTTGCACAAAAAGTCGACAAAGAGAAGGATAGCGATCAGACGGACGGCCGGCCGGGTGGTGTCTGTTTTCAAAACAAAAACGCTCATGATATTAAACACGCTTCACTGCCTAACTGTCAGGTCAGCGAATACTTTGACGACAGAATTCGCAGAATATAAAAAATAAAGTATAGTTAACGTTAATGTTGAAAATTTCCCAATTCCCTCGACCAAGAAAATTCTCTTGCACGAGCTTCAGTTGCCGAAGCTTTTATTATTTTTGTCCCCGTGTCTACTTCACTAAATGAAGTAAAAGGCAAGACTTTAAATACAGTTGATGTGATTACTTACTTGGTTCAGAAAATGTAGCGTTTTCCTTCTGATTTAACTCCATGAAGGATAAGCGACTTTAGCGGTAGCTTTCTCCGGAAAAACAAATGTCACGTGACTCCAAACTACACCTGCTTACAGCCTCCTTCTTTTTGCAAGTAATTACTCTAATTTATCAGTTATTTATAAGCATTTGTCGGAACACTCGCAATACATCAAATACATAACAGAAGCTTTTAAAACACCAAACACTCGGCGGCAATAAACGTGCCATGATTATCACACCGTGTGTACATTTAATAACATTGGATTCTTGCAAAATCACCCATTAACATGAGTGCAATATCAAATATACAATATAAAGACAAAAATAAATATGGAAAGCTCAAATAAAGTGGAATAAAATTACAACAAATAAATGTGGTCAGAGCTGGTGGGCTTAAATTTTGTGGAGGAGTGTATCGATAATAATTATTAATCAGATGGAAGACTGTTTCTGAGTCAATGATAGTTCGTGGCCTGAAACTATTTGTTATTTGCTGCGATTCAACGAATAGCAAGAAATGTACCTTTTCATGGTTCATAGGATCATTTCATGGCCATAGGATCATCTGAATAGAGATCATGTATCGGTGGGATTTTACTGAGGAGAGTCATTCTAGACTGGTGTTGCTGCCTAACTGCGCTTTTGACTATATTTTGTTTACTTGTTCTGTATGTAACAAGTTAAGGGGGAATCCACCAGAAGTTCGAGTAACTAGTGGACAAAAACTTGGTACCAACATCATTTACATTGTATTGCAAACTTCTCTGCGACTGTTTTAAATATCGTCTGAAAAAAAAATCATTTCTAGCAACACCAAACGTCGAAAATGAATGTTGAACTTCATATGAAACACTTGAAAGTACCGGTGAAATGAAACTGATGATGAAATTTGGCATATGTTTGCACAAGTTCACTGAAATTTGAAATTAATTTTCCCTAATTCCCATGGGAAATTGTTTTTGGAGTTATTTCAGGCAATTATTTATGTATTTAGCTTTCAGAAAATGTAAAAATAACTGTAAAATACTTAAAATTATTCTGGTACCAGATTTTTGTCCACTAAAACCTGAAATTGCTCGATTTTCTATCGGATTTTGTCTTAATTTAGTGTAGTGGCCTTTCTCCCTCAAGGTCTTTAGTGCCTGGCTCTGCATTTGGGAGGGATCAGGTTTCCTCTATTTAAAGGGTATTTCCAGACGGAAAGCAGGCATGTCAGTTCATAGCTTATTGTGGCTCAATATGTAGCAATCCGTTCGATGCTAACATTAATAAAGTGGGTCTCATGCTTTAATTGTGTGCAGCAGCTAATCGTGTGCAGCAGCCAGTACTCTATTTACCAGTGAAAAGTTGTTTTCTCTTGATTGCTGCAGGGAATAGGGGAAACTAATACTTACAGTATCTAAAAAATAGCATTCATACATTTCTAAGGTTTGTAAAAACAGCATACTAACAGCAATTTTTTAAAAAGGAAACAACATTTCCATTTTACAAAACATGTTTCGATATTCCTATGTCATCTTCAGTTCCAAATGTTTGATGGTTGTACATTTGAATTTTCACTGTATTCATGATTACGTTATAGAATTACGTCATAAAATTTACGTTAACAATTTGAATATTGGAATACTCTGGGAACAAAGGCTGCGCATGGGCCAACAGTGGTTGAAACAAAATCAAAAATTTAAATAAAATAAACAAAACATGAAAAAGAATTAAAAAGAAAGACATTTCTTTTATTTTTCCATTCACTGACTGAGATCGACTTCTTTGTCAACTGAAAACGACAAGAGAAGTGGGAATATAGGTATTAATAATAACAATAATAATAATAATAGTATATTGTTTATACTGTACATGTTACTTAAAGAGACATTGTTGTATCAACATTGTTGACTATTGCTTGCTTGGGTTAGTCTTCAGTTAAATGGTAGTTGGTTGTTGCAGTCAATTCTGCAGTCGCACGAAAACTGTTAACTATTGAAAAATCCTGATTAGCTTGCAAGCAGGCTCTAGTATGCCACAGCACAAGCAAAGATGAAGCTGTGACAGACAAGTTGGCGAGTGAACTGGCTGTCTGGCTCTGCTAGTCCCTATGGTTAATATTTTCATTGAAATTGTAATTTTTTCTTTTGCAAGAGTGAGTGCAAATAAAGATTGATTATTTATATGAAGCAAGCCGATGCCAGGCCAGGCCCTTCACCGGCTCTCTTTGCTCACTGACTTGTCTCTAATGCACCTGAGCTTTTGCTTTTGCTTTTGCCGAAACACATGAAAGCCTGTTAACCTTTGGATGATGTCTGACTTAATTAGTTCAGGACAGCCCTAATTTGGTGATCTGTGAACTGAGTGCAAACATTGCTGACATAGAAGCTGGCCATGTCTCGTTGTTCTAGATTCATACCTTCATGTCATTAACCATTGTCAAAAATGAAGAAATATAGTCAAACTCTTATAGACTGTTACAAAGGAAATACATGACAATTTCCCACAATGCAATTTTTTATTTTCACCCCAGCTGGTTTTTTTCATTTCACATTATTACATTCATCTCACCTGAGCTAGACTGCATTCTGATTGGCTTTGTATTTGTAAACTAAGGCTTAACTGGCCAAGTTCATATGAACCATTAATGCAAGGTAATCAAAAAATAGTGAGGAGACTGGTGCAGGCCAAATAATAGGAATCACCACTCAATTGATACTTGATCAACACTCCATTGACACCTCACAGCTTGACACAGTTGGTCAAGAGTCAACTAATTTTTGATCGCTGCATAGGAATCCATTGATACTCGACCAAATATCAACCATATGTTGATTGAGTGTCAAACGGGTGTCATATGAGATGTTCATTGAGTGTTGATTGAGTGTTGAGGGAGTATCGGTCAGGATGATGATTTTGTGTCAATCGAGATGCCAATAGGCCTCGGCGGATTGTGCTAGCGTAATTTTTGACATAATTGGGGCAAAAATCATAATTTCTCAAACGAGCACTGCCACAGCATAATTAGCAACTTTTAGCACTTTTTGGAGCATAAATTCATAAAATTTAGTAAATATGCTGTACTTTCTGCATAAATAAATTACATTTAGGTAGTATGTTCTTGCTACGCTAATTGACTTTGACGTATTGACTTTGTTCTGACATGCTTAGTTACTAGGCCTCTTTTGGCGAATTCTGACAAATTTAGCGATCAGCAGGAGAGTGCTCTTGCAGACTATCTCCAGACCAGCGTAATGTTGCAGTACAATAAGCGCTGATGTTGACTTGTGTATACTATTCTTATCCATGTTTATTCAAGCAATTATTGGTGCTGAAAGAACTCAGAACTGTCAAGACAAGTTGATTTACTTTGTGGCTTGATACTTTCAATGTTATAGTTTGCTATAGTTTGAGTTAGTTTAAATCAAGAGAGTACTATATTCTTTTGGTTCAGTCAGTATATACAAGTGTGATTGTTAAGTCGTTGAAGGCATTTTCAAACAGTTCAGAGATGCAATCAGCTAATTTGGACAGCTGAAGGCCGAGACAAACTGCCATAAACCACAAACAAATTTACAACAACAGTTTATTTGAAAAACATCATAATTTGGTGTCGTTATTGCGCGCCTATATGTACAGAATATACGTCATTTTGTGAGCGTAATTTCGGAAATCAGGAGCATAATTTAGGAATTCTGGCATAATTTTGGCATGATTTAGCAAAATTTTGAGCACTGCTAGTAGCACAATATGCCACTTTTAGGAGCACAATCCACCAAGGCCTATCCTAGATGCCAATCAAGGGTCAAGCGGGGGTATTGATCAACACTAGAGCATGGATGCCTTCAGTATACATGATCCACTTGCCGAGTAACATAACTTATAATTCTACTATAAACCTGTAAAAAACCCAAGATATTGCTTGAGATCTTTAGAGAGGGACTGGGACCTTGATAACTCATTACATGGAGAACAGATGGGAAGTGCAGTATATTCCAACCTTTGGCAGCTTTTGAAGTGTCTCTGTTAGGAGGGTTCAGATAATTTGCTTCGAGTGACCTGTGGATTTACGCTATCAAAACTATTAGATTAAAAGCTCTTGATTTGTATGCCTGATAGAAAACTTGAGATCACAATCTAGTTGTTAGAAATGCACTGAACTAACTCCCCAAAATATTTAAGTTTGTCTCGAAAACTCTTGAAATGGCCTCCCAAACAAAATTGCGCTGTTCTATAAATCAGACGTCTTAGGAAAAGCACTTCAGCTCTAATTAAACCTAGGACCAAAGAACAAATGGCAGCCAATAATGAAAACGAAAGCCTGATCGATCGCATGTTTATACTTTCCAGGAAGCAACTGAGCTTAATTTCAAAGTTAAATATTACCTTATTAGCTCAAAATTTTACATACAATCTAACGTTATTCTATTTACTATAACTACATGTAGTTCTGATTTTCCTAATTATTCTATCTACCTGTAAAACGAAAAGTATTATCCTAAAGAAGGAAGGTGAAATTTACTCGATCGCGGCTGGGTGCGATCAAACATCGATTAGTGTCGGAGGCCGACATGTTTTGTTGAACTCACCAGGTTCAATGAGCCGTTTGTCCTCCCCTTCAGCCTTCTGTTTATAACTTTGAGCTACTGGATTCACATGCATACTGGTTGACGTAGAATGATGAGCCATAAAAACTCAAAGATTATCAAGAACCATGTTATTTCATTCTCCGTACAAAGAGAAACTGCACCATCGACTCCCGTGACAAGCTCCCGCAGCTATTTCTGAATTATGCGCAAGGTCTGGGCGAAAGGGCGGGTCTACGACTGATTACGGGATTACCCGTTCTAAACTCTTTGTCCCGTGAGATTCTCCCGCGAGCGGTTGCCAGGAAGATTTGTGACGTCACCAGTAAGCAAAAGGCTAGTTGTGAGTTGTTGTTGGTGCAGTTTCACGGCTTTTATGGCTTTTCCAGCAAATAGATGTAGATTACCTGTATTGTAATCTTTCCTTCCAACCTGTGGCTACTAACAACATACCAAGAATCTGCTTGACACAATTCACGGCAATGAAAAGTGAAAGTTCGTGCGGTTCTTTATGCCAGCATCCTGAGTGTTGGAGAGCAAATTTACAAAGAGTAAAGGATGCTGTTAGACTGAGAAATGGAATTCACAGTAATGAAACAGTAGAAGAAAAAGACTTCGATAGTCTGGCTAAAAGCAGAAGGAAAAGTGACGAAGGTGAGCAAGTGAGATCATTTTAATGACTCTATCAAATTAGCTGCTGTTGTGCTTTTAGTTACTAAAAATCGCAAATGTATAACTTCCATCAACACACAACATATAATGCCACAGGCTCAAACCTGGACAGCCCTATAAAGAGTTCCACGGTAACAAATTGGCCATTGTTCCTACCCAAGACTCAATTAATTATAATCAAAGATGAAACAAATTTAATCAGCACATTTTTCCAGTATTGAAATAGGATAGAGTTGTTAATTGATTATTTGAATTTCAGGCTCTCTTCCAACACTGAAAATTGTTGATGCATTTGGGGAGGCAGACCTCAGACAGAACAGTGCACCAATCAATGGCCGTACAACATCACAATCAAACAGATATCATCACCGGTCATCATCATTACCCTCATTATCGCCTGATCTGAGGTTAGGTACAAATTCCAAGCTTTTGTATTATATAATAGCCAAGTTAATTCCACAGTGGTTAATTTAAAAACTGCTACATGTAACACCCTGTTTTGTTGTCATGAAGCTAAATCAATCATAGCATTATCAATGCTGCTATCTAAAGCAGGAAAAAAAAAACCCGGGTGGACTTCCATTTGAAAAGAACTCAAGATCCTGTTTTGTGGGCATGGCTTGAAATTTTTTCACCCCTTAGAGGTACCAATTCCAAAACAACACAAGTCATTAACTTTCACTTTCATCATTTGGGTCATTCAATGTAATGTACACTCTTGTCATCTGTTGTTTATGAGGCTGATGGACAAAGGACATCATCCATTTAAATTTTGTTTAAAAGAAAGAGGAATAGTTGCTTTGTACATGTACAGTTAAATACTTGTTAAGTAACTCGACTAACTTGTTGAGTAACTTGAAGAACCCTCAGTTGTGACTTGGGTACACATTGTCAAGACCTTTTCTGCTCTCCAATCGCCCTCCCTCATGTTTACAGCAGCTTGTGTAAGGATATGTTGTATTTGACATTTGTTCTATTTTTCAGTAGTCAGCGTCAGTCATCTTCATGCACCCCAACTGTCTGTGTGCCTCGTCCATCTCCTGTTTCACCAACGGTGTTAACAGATTACCAGAAACGCATGCTGTGGAAGAAGAAATTGCAAGCTGGCTCAGAAGCCACTGATATTCACCATGAGAAGGGCAATGCATCAGTTGTTGGTGTCCATGAATTGTATGAAAATGATGAGCTGTTACAAGACTGGAAGGACGTGTATATTACTTCAGCATATCTCGTATGGTGTCAAACCAGCAGGGTAATTTACTTCTTTTAACTTACTTGTACAGATGCTTACAGTAAACAAAAAAAGAGATGCTACTAAATTGCCATATGTATTATGAGGGTGGTAAAGGGTATTTTCGTGACTTATGATCGGCCCTTTTTTTTCCTGTGAAATGTGAAATGGCTAATTTTTTCCTCATGAATCATGATTTCCATAGTCGCTGTGAACTGTGATTTTCCAAAATGTTCTCTTTTATTTTCCGTGAAGCGTGAAATGCCAATGTTGTATTTTTTGTGAATTGTGAAAGGGCTGCTTTATTTTCCATGAAACGTGATCTATACCCCCTTTACCACCCTCTATTATGATTGAATTAAATACTGTTAACAATGCCTAATAACACAGTAAATACAGTTATGTTTATATTGATTATTTAAGTCATTTAATATATAATAAATCAGTCTATACAGTCTGATTTACACATACATGTACGTGTCTTGCAAATCAGTCTTCAGCTTCGGGAAAATGATATTTGATGTGCTCACCACTAACAAATCAAGATACACATATTTTGCTTAGACCTCATCCAATATAAATGAATTACTTTTTCCTTTTTTCCCTTTTATTGAACTGCCTGTGTTAATGTGTACAATTGCAGAGAAAAAAGAGAAAGGCAAAAAGCACTGGGTGAGTTTTTTCTTTGTTTACAACCAGTATGAACTTGCTGAATAAAATTATATAATATTTATGTGAAAAAATTCTGTGTTTAAAGTATTATCATGTAAACTGAAAGGTTAAAAAATAAAGAAAGTCAAAAAGTTAGGATCTATCACTTAAAAGGTGACAGTTGTGTAGGTTGGAGTAAATCTAAAGTTATGGGTTCCTTACAGCTACATATAGTGGGCCACTGCTGGCGCTTTACATATTTCTGGTTTCTGTTATGTGGATGGGTTGTAAGTCAATTACTGGTCATGAATGCCTTTAATACTATGCAGTTTACCAACACCTGTTTTAAATTACACCTCCTGGCTGAATAGCACGTAAAGAACTCAACACAATGATTGAGCCAGAGCTTGAACATGTTTGGCTTTACTGACCAGAACGTTTTTGAAATAAATGGAACATCTTGAAAGGTACATATAGTCCAAAATTTCCAAATGAAATATGCAAGTGGAAAATGTGCTTACCATTTGCAATTCTTCACTGCTATCTTGGATCCTTAGTATCTTTTGGTAAATTGGGGTTTTTTTAGTAAATGGTAAATGGCCAATCTGAACAGAACTTACCATCACGCATTGTTGCTTCCCATTTGTACAACTGCTGACAAACTAGCTTCTTCAACTTTGCTATAACCTTTTTTAGTGTAAAACCTCTGGTAAAGCCTGATAGTTTGGACAACTGGTGTAATTAGATCAATAAACAAGTAGCAATTCAGAGATTGCTGGTTAGCACTCTCTAACACTAGTGTTATTAATTATTTAAAGAATGATTTGCTTTAAAGTAAAGAATTGTTTCTTGTTTATGTTCAGGTCCATTGCAAGGAGGAAAGACCCTCATAGAATAGCATTTAAAGATGTCACAGAAGACATGATCCCAGCTACCATGGAGAAAACAAAACCAGTGAGAAATTGAACTGCAATATGTTTTAGAAAACACCCTGAAATAAAGCATGCACTAAGAGCTATACCTCTATGACTCTATGGAAAAACATAACCAGCACAAGCTGTTGATGTACTAATTGTAATGATGGCATAAGCAAAGACAAATAACATTTAAGCTTGAATTTAATATTCATAAACTAGACTGATTTTCCTTTCTTTTTTCTCACACGTTTGCCTAAAAATATTAGGCTAAAAATATTTATTTATTACTAGACTAGTGTAATAAATACTAGTGTTGTCTAAAAGAAATAGAAAACATGTACATTTCCTCTTTCTTCGTGTCAAGTTAGGGAAAGTTTGGAAGAACTTGTCAAAGCCAGGGGTGCAGGCAAATGGTCCTTCAAAAACCATGGGTCTTGCAAAATTTCCATCAAATTGCATGGGTCTCGCAGTCTCATTTTTTTTGGCAGTTATAAACAACAAGCTGCATCTGGCAGTCTCAATTTTTTTCCACAAAGCTGTCTCTGATTTATCTGTCTGTTTTTACAAACACCGTCTGAATGTCTTAGAGTCTGAACATCTTGTGCTTGCATTTAAAACACTGTGAATTTTCGGTCTCAAATTTAAATAATCGTTATGTCTCGGTTCACAAAGAAAAAAGTGCCAGTCTCACCTTCTTGTCAAGTCTCACAGTTACCTTAAAGCTAGTCTAGCCTGTGACAGCACTAAAACAAGTGGATGCTCTAACAAGCTAATGGCAGACTACATTGTAATTGGCTATTTAAAGGTGAATAATTTGTTTAAGTTTTATTAAATAATAAAAATGACAATTATTGATACACAAATTGTAATAATTTCTGGTTTAATAGTAGTTGATAATCGAAGTTATCCAACCAACTGTCCAACTGTCCAACCAGTCTTCCGTCCTCCCACCCTCTCCCCCTCCTCAACCCTCCCCACTGCAACCTCCACTAGATCTATTTGTAAGCCAGCCTAAATTTAACTCAATTACAATGCTTTTTTGACTCTGTGGTTGAGTAACGTGACTGTACTATTGAGATTATTTTGAACTCTCTTTTCCCAGAAACGTCCTGAGCCTCGCCGATCTCCTACTGTAGGACTACCTTACAGTCCAAGCCGGGCAAGCTCTCATCGCCGAGTTCATGTTCAGCACCTGGACCTCTCCAAATATGGGTATGAGAACAAACAGTTACTATATAGCTTTGTTTCCATAAGATTATTAATAACTTTGGCTCTTCTAGTAACTACACTCACTCACTGACTGTCACAGGACATCAGTGGAATGTGATTAAATGAACTTTGTTTATACATTTTGTGAAAACATTATCTCTTTTGTAGGCTGGAAGATTTTGGAGACTTTCCAAAGTCAGTTATTGCTGGAATCCTTCAGCATCTCAAGCCAAGGTAAAGAGCTATCCAGTTATTAATGATGTTCGCCTTTCTGTAATTTTCAAGCTACATCATAACTCATTCAACATACTGTAGTAAATGGTTTGAAGCCAGGAGTATCAGTAGTTCATGAATATAGAGTTGTGACTGACTGAAAAGTGGTAAGTGCATTTCATGTGGTGGTGGTAGAAGTCTGGTATGTTGAAACTGATTGGTCAGTTTTGTTGTGATGTTATTTGCTGTGGTGAATTTGACAAACTGGATGTCCTCTTGTGTGTATTGTATGACTTATATGGCAGGAACAAGACTGAGTAAAATAAATTTGCCAATCAGTCTGCAGTGCAAACAAAATTCGGTATTAAGTCTGTTCGATTTTATGAAGTTCATTTTGTGAATTGTTCAGCTTGTGCAGCAATTGTAACCTGGCCGCAGGACCTAAAAACAGCCATGACCCCATCCCCTCTCCCCTCAGTCTCCCCTCAAGTCCGTTTTAGGTAAACAAGATGCGTGGAAATTATAGCACTAGAAAAAAGATTGCAGTTGTACGTTTACTCACCTTTTCTTTTCTCTATTTTCAATAGCATGGCAGTTGACCAAGAATTGCCTTTGGGTTTAGAAGTTCAACCAAAGCAACATTCAAGTCCAAGAGCTGAGGTACTGCCAGGCGGTAAACAAGTGAAAGCTGATATGAGCAAAGACCTGAATAAATCGGAACAAATACCGACGACTCTGGAGCAAACTGTACTTGATGAAAACTCGCGAATGTTGCTTGATATTGATATTAACTCACACTTCACCCCTCCTGTGGAGGAGGTAGTTACAGATGAGGAGAGTAGTGACAGGATCTTGGGTAACTCCACCCAAGGCACAAAACTGGAGTCAAGCATGATTAAAGCAGTCAGTGATAAACTGACAGCAGCAAGGCAAGGACGTGTTTTGTTGCCTCTTTCTTCAGTCGGTGTTCCTTCAGACCGTCAGTCCAAAGCCAAACCACACCACTGTATGAACTCTATTCCGCGTAACTTGGATTTAGGCGTAGCAATGGAACCTGTTGAGCTTGTATCAGTCACGCCAACTCCCACAGGAACCCCAAGAGAGGAGGTGGCAGCTCAAGACTCTCAGCTGTGTGCTCTGGTCAGCAGCTCTCTAGATGTGACTTTGGCTGCAAGCGAACTTGTTTCACCGAGTGACGATCACATGAACCAGTACTGGCCCGTCAGAGGACATATGACTTCAGCACTGAGGTAAGCCATCTTTCATTGAGGTAAGAGTCTATACATGAGCATTGGCGACTACTGGAAACAAGCGGTGATCAAGCCTGAAAATCGAACTTGCTAATCAAACAATTGATTAGAGCCATTATTATAATCAGAAGCATATCACCTAGACTAGGTGATATGCTTCTGTTATAATCTATTATCCTTACTTTCAAAATAACAAAACTAAGGGTCGAGAGGTTCAGTGGGAAAAAAGGCAAAGAAAGTTCAGTGGGTAGAACAATTCGTGGCATAATTATTTTACTGTGGCTATGACGAAACCTTTTTGTAAGCTCCCTGTTGTAAGGTAGCCCACTTAACTGTGTATCCACGACGAAAACGAAACCGACAAACGGACTTGTAACAGACCGACTTAATTTGACTAACAATAAGACGGACCTAAAACCGACCAATTTGACTAACAATAGACGGATCGAAACTGACCAATGACTGATGACAAACTTTACACGAGTCTTACAGCCAATACCATAAAAACTGATTTTCAACGGACCAGACTTATAACAT